CCTCATGGCAGTCTGGGAAGTGGAGTTGGATGGGAGCGTTTGTTTCCAGAGCTTTCGAGGGCTTGGGAGACCGTGGCACGTCTCGGGCTGGGCCGCCTAGAAACTGAGGGTACTTGGTGGTTGCAGCAGCCACCCGTGTTGTGGAAGTGCTGACCTCCGCCAGTTGGAGCTTGGTACCCGTCCTGGTCTGTGTCTGTCCTGTTTCGCCTGCCTCTTCTGTCCCCTGTCTCCCTGCTCTTGGACTCAGGCGTCTGGCACAGATTTCCATGGGTGGGCAGGCACAGGTTGGGGACTGTCACTGCTGTCAGAGTGCAGGGTGGTGTATCAGCTAGGGAGAGAGGCCAAGCTGCTGTAACAAACAGTCCCTGCAACAGTGTGGTGGAAAGAACAGAGAAATGTCTCCCTTTCCTGAGAAGCAGTGGTTGTGTGTGTCAAGCGGGTGAGTGTCTGTTCTGTGTGGCCCTCCTGACTCGTGGTTCCACCAGGGGCCGGGCCCTGAGTGTCATGTGGTTGAGATGTGGGGAGGGGATTCAAACCGAGGTCTGCTGGACTCGGAGCGTCCTGCCCCTTTCCCTCTTGACTGCTGATCCTGCTGGAGATGGGAGGGCAGGAGGAGGGAGTTCCATGGCCACCAGGGTCCGCCGAGGAGACTGCATTCCCTCCTCCCAGCTCCTTCCTGACTCTGGCTAGAAAGGGAAGCTGCCCAGCCCAGGCCAGGGGTGGGAGAGGCTTCGCCTGGTTCTCTACAGCTGGGGTGGTGACGCTGGGTTTGGGGGTGGCCGGGGTGGGGGGCAGGCGGGTTTGCTTTGTGGTCTCTGGGATGTCTCTGAGGGGTCAGTTTCCAGAGGATTCCTCCGTGGCCTTAAACAGTGCCCAGCGTGTGGTAGGCATCCAGTCGCTCTTGGTGGGAAGCACAAACGCCCCCACCCCAAGCAGTGTTCTGGTGAGGGGCTTCATGGTGGTCTGCACAAAGGCTTCAGGGTGCAGGGTGGGCTGGGGGTGCCTGGGAACTCGGAGACAGCCAGGAGCCAAGTGTCCTTGCAGTGAAATTCGTGCTGGTTGCTCCCAGGGAAGATGCAAGAGGGAGACAGAGGCTTGGAGTAGAGCGGGATGAACATGGGTGGGATGAAGACACCTTGTACCTGGCTGAGCCGCCGGAGAGGGGGCGCCCGGGTGTGCATCGAGGTGGGGGCCTGGCTACAAGCCCACACCGCCTGGGTCTGCCTCCCAGACTCTCCTCTTGCCACAGCACCCTCCTGCGACGGCCTTGAGGCAGGTGCGCTGGCCTCCACCACAGGTGGCCACAGCCTTAAGGTGGGGATGTCGTCTGCTTATGGAGGTGGTGGGACTCTGTCTGGCTCCACTTCTGTGTGGCCTTGGCTGAGGTGCTCAATCTCTCTGGGTTTCCACCTGTGAAATAGAGAAACTCACCACCCACCAACATGCAGGGGTCCCTGAAAGAAGGGGCAGGTGAAGCTGTGGGCTGCAGCTGCCCAGACACTGGTCGGCCCCTCCCTCGCTGGGCTGGAGGGGAAGACAGCAGAGTTTACAAACCACATCTCTCCAGAGCTTCAGAGAAGAGGCCAGCCCGAAGGTGCTCATGCATCCTTTCCTATCAGGGCGTGTGAAGATTGAGAATCCCCCCAGTTTAAAAAAATCATCCGCGTTGGCCGGGTGCGGTGGCTCATGCCTGTAATCCCAGCACTTTGGGAGGCTGAGGCGGGTGGATCACCTGTGGTTGGGAGTTCGAGACCAGCCTGACCGACATGGAGAAACCCAGTCTCGACTAAAAACACAAAATTAGCTGGGCGTGGTGGTGCATGCCTGTAATCCCAGCTACTTGGGAGGCTGAGGTGGGAGAATTGCTTGAACCCAGGAGGGGGAGGCTGCAGGCAACAAGAGCAAAACTCCATCACTCCCCCCACAAAAAAAACATCTGCATGGTAATTACGTCGTCTCACCCAACGTGCTGCCATTTTCCAGATGGCCTCTGGGAAATGCTGTCACTTAAAACCGGATTCCGGAGACGACCAAGCACGGCCAGTGTGCTCTTGTATCCAGACAGTGTGACAAGTGACAAAGGGTGACATACCTAGGAGTGAGCGGACAGCAGCCCCGTGGGGGCTCCCTGGACCCATCCCTGCCTCTTCATTGCCAGCGGCATCCCAATCCTCAGCCCTCCCCAGAGCGGAGCACGTCTAGTCCCACGGGTCGTATTCCCCAGCAGCTGGTTTAGGGCAAGCGTGAGACCCACTCTGGCCAATGAGGAGCAAGGGGACGTTTCCAGGAGTTTCTGGAAGGGTTTCCCACTGCTGAGGAGAGACGTGCAGAAGAAAGAGGTAGTTTCTCTCTTTCTGCTGATGGTGTGGGGGAGGCCTGTGGTGACTCCCTGAGTCATGGCAGCCTCTGTGCCACCATGAGGGACCTCATTGAGTACTTTGCACCTCCCTGAGGTCCCAGAGCAGGAGGCAAGACCAAGGCTGGGTCCCTGCCTCGCCTCTGAGCCACAGACTGAGCCTGGGAGCCCTCCCGTGTCTTCTGGCTCTGTGGGATAGGTTGGCTTTATTAGACCTGAGCAGCCTAATGTTGGGTTTGCTGCTACGTGGCGTCAAGAGCAGCTGAGGCTGTTCACCGTGGCTCACACCTATAATCCCAGTACTTTGGGAGGCTGAGGCAGGCGGATCACAAGGTCAGAAGTTCGAGAACAGTCTGGCCAACATGGCGAAACGTATTTTGTGAAAAATACAAAAATTAGCCTGGTGTGGTGGTGCGCGCTTGTACAGCCAGCTACTCGGGAGGCTGAGGCAGGAGAATTGCTAGAACACGGGAGGTGGAGCTTGCCACTGCACTCCAGGCTGGGCGACAGCAAGACTCCATCTAAAAAAAAAAAGCAGCTGAACATGGCTCCACAGCCAGGCTTCCCCAAGTCATCCTGTGAATCAGGCCATCAGGTTCATCGCCTGGATTCTGAGAGAGGAAAATAGTCCCAGTTGTAAAACATGAAACTTAAAAATGGCAATAAAGGGCACGTTCATTACATATGTCTGCAAAGGTCAGCGCTATGGGCTCTCGAGACAAATAATGCCTCTCCCAGCAGGTTTCCTGTGCAAGGGGCTGGCCTGCTCCAGACACCGTCTAACTGAGTTTTCTTGCACCAGATTCTCAGAGTGGCCACAGCTTTGAAGACTAGGAGGCAGAGAGTTCTCACCTACGGGAAGGCTGGGGCCAGTGACCTCAGAGCCCACGAGTTTCATACTCTGCCCTCTGCTCCTGCATGGGCCCTGGAGCCCAGAGCTGTGTCTAGGACTGGCCTGAGCCAGTGCCAGACCCCGGACTGGGAGTAGGGCCAAGAGGAGGGCCGGGAGGAGGGCTGGGAGGACGGCCCGGAGCTGTTCCGGTGGGTGGGGGCCCAAGGAATCTCCCTCTCTCCGGTGCATGGGGCCTGAGTCTGTGGGCGCCTGGCTGAGGGCGTGCCCCTGGTCTACCCGTGGCCACGGTGGCGGCACTCAGCTGCCTGGTCTGTTGTTTACACGTCCTGCTCATCCATCAGCTGGATTCATAAACACAGCAGAAGCCTGGGAGCCCAGTGGCCCCATGGCCGGAGCGGGGGCCAGGGCAGGGGTCTGGCTCTCAGAGGGGCTGCCAATTGGGGCCTGGAGATTCCAGGCATGGCGGGCACCAGCAGGGTCTCCTGACCCACGTCTCTCCCAGACTGTTGCTAGGTGGGAGTTACTCATTAACCCCGGCACAGCCTGGCCGGCGTTTGATGGGGCTGGGGCTGGGGCTGGGTGAGCCAGGGTGAACCGAGCCCACCTGGACATGAAATGTTTGTTCCCCATGAGCGGATGCTCTGAGAGGGTCGTGGTCTGCCAGGCCGGCCTGGCTGAGGGGACGTGGTCCCTGGGTACCCCGATGGTGCCGTCTCCTGACCCTGGAGGGCCAGGCCGCAGGTGCTGCCACCTTCCTGGGTCTCAGCTTCCCGGCTATAAAATGGGATGGTGACGTTCCTCACGCAGTCCCACTTCTGCAGTAGACGCAGGGGCCTGGGGACGGGTCAGAGTGTGGTGCTGAGAGTGGCTCAGAGTTGAATTTGGGAAGCGTCTGAGACCGATGGCCTACCGGGCCAGGCTATAGGGTGACAGCCATCAACACTTGCTGGAGGCGTTTGGTGTTAGGGACAGACTGTTGCCCTGACTGCTCAGAGGAAGCCTCTGTAATGTGTCTTTGCCATGGCTCCGGGTGTCATGGGAGGATTCCTGGGTTCCCAGAAAGGGGAGTCTTTCTCGCCACGTGGCCCACACTCCCTGAGCCAGGCCACAGCTTCCACACCTGGGGTCCTGGAGGGACGCGGGTCCAGGGGACATTCGGCTTCCCCGGGCCCAGGCGTCCGCAGGCTGAATCTCTAATGCGTAGCAGGCTCTGCAGTGGTGCCCGGTGATATTCTGCCCACGGCCTCTGTGTTAATCATTGATCTGGGCAACCTGCAGACCCCTCCCCACTTCCCTGTGTGGGGGGTGAGGAGGGTGCTTAGCGGGTGTGTGACTCTGAGACAGCGGCCCCCCTGTCCCCCGCTACCTGGACGTGCTCCCAGTCCTTGAGAGTTAATCCAAGGTTAGCGTGGAGCCTGCCAGCCCTGTGACAAAGATACAGACCCCCAGGGAATGTCCCAGCGTGTCCCCACCCAACCCCTCCACTCACCTCGGTAAAGGCGCGGGAGGCTGGGTGAGTTCCATTTCGAGGAGCTGTCTGAACAAAAACGGGAGCTGGGCCAGGCCAGACGGTGGTCTCCGGGTGGGTCTGTGGCGCTCTGACACCCTGGCTGCAGGTGCCACGAAGTGGAGAAGCAGTGGCATTGGATGTGGTGGTGGCAGAGGCTCCTGGGGAAGGAGCAGGTGGGAGGTGGGGATTTGGGCGGTGGCCCCCTGCGGGGTGACCCCTCACGTATGTCCCACCCTGTGCCCACCTGGCCAGTGCTCACATCCCTCCGCCTCCACCCGCAGGGCACCGCGTCCGTCCTCCAGCGCCGCTCCCCCAATGAAGAGTACGTGGAGGTGGGACGCCTTGGGCCCTCTGACTACTTCGGTGAGTCCAGCGGGCGTCCCCTCCCTGGCACAGCTGTGGGTGTCTCATTCAGGGTCCTGCGAGGGGCCTGGAGGGGAGGAGCTCTGGGAGGCTTCCCTGGGGTCTTGTCAGGGGTCTTGGCTGAACCCCAGTGTGGCTGCAACAGAAGGCTCAGTCCTGTTCCCCCAAATTGAGGCCCCAGGGCCAGGCCTGAGTCCCCAGGAGCAATCAGCCCTGGATGTGGGTTCCTCAGAGGGCATGACTGTGGGTGAGGCAGCCTCCCACTTCTGGGATGAGGCGGCATGGTGTAGCCATCAGCCACCCACATTCCTGCAGCTGGGAGTCTGGGTCCTGAGGGAGGCCTGGGCACACCTGGGCATTACTGCAGGATTGCCCCAAAAAAGTGTAGGACAGGCCGGGCATAGTGGCTCACTCCTGTAATCCCAGCACTTTGGGAGGTCAAGACTGGCGAGTCACAAGGTCAGGAGATCGAGACCATCCTGGCCAATGTGGTGAAACCCCGTCTTTACTAAAAATACAAAAAAAATTAGCGGGACATGGTGGCGTGCGCCTGTAGTCCCAGCTGCCTGGGAGGCTGAGGCAGGAGAATTGCTTGAATCAGGGAGCTGGAGGTTTCAGTGAGCCGAGATCATGCCACTGCACTCCAGCCTGAGCAACAAGAGTGAGATTCCATCTCTAAATAAATAAATAAATAAATAAATAAATAAATAAATAAATAAAATAAAAGTGCAGGACAATGCCTAGCTAAACTTGAATTTCAGTTAATAAATAATTCATCAGCATAAGTATATCCCAAATATTTCCTGGGCTATACTTATGCTAAAAGTTGGATTGTTTGAAATTCGAATGGGCCTGGCATCCTGGTGGTGGTTTTTCCTATCCTCAAAGCGGGAGTGGCTTCCAGGGTCCGGGGCATCACCTCTCCCTGCTGCAGCCTCAGGACCCCCAGGCCTCCAGGCCAGGCCCTGACCTCTGTCTTTGCTCCCCAGGGGAGATTGCGCTGCTGCTGAACCGGCCCCGGGCGGCCACCGTCGTGGCCCGGGGGCCCCTCAAGTGTGTGAAGCTGGACCGGCCCCGCTTTGAGCGCGTGCTGGGCCCTTGCTCCGAGATCCTCAAGAGGAACATCCAGCGCTACAACAGCTTCATCTCCCTCACCGTCTGAGTGCAGCCCCGCCCCGCAGCCCCAGCTCCCCAGTGTGGTGGCCGTGCTGTGCTCGTCTGTGTCAGGGGCCCGGGAGCCGCTGTGTGAGGTGCGGGCCCGGTGGGGCTGAGTCCCTGTGGCGTGAGGACTGCCCCTTCCCCAGACTCACTTTTTGGAATAAATAATCATCTTGTGCATTTCCAAATCAAAGGACAAGCGGACAAAACTCATCCTAAGAGCGAGAAAGGGACAGGCCAGGTTCCTCCCCGTACGTCTCCTAGGCCACTGGAGATGCTTGAGTATCTCACCTCCCAGAATTAGGCCAGGACGTTGCCCCTGAGGCCTGGAGACCCGGTGAGGTCAGGTCCCCCAGAATGAGGTCCGAGTGTGGGCAAGATTGTGTCAAAAGGGGCTGTCCCCAAGGGAGATCAGGCTGAGAGCAGGGAGTCTAGTCTGAAGGCCCCTCCCTCAAATGTGTGCCCCTCCCTACCCCCTGCCACACCCCCACCTCCCCAGAGGTCCTGCTGTGGATACCAGGGTGGGAGAGTCTCTGGGCTGTGAGGTTGATCTTGCCTCTAACTGGAGAGGAAGCCAGGTGCTGAGACACGCAGGGCTGCTGCCTTGGGAGCCAGGGCTGTGGCCGCAGGTAGACCCCATTAGGGGCTGTGTTGGAAGTTCCGTTGGGAGGGGCTGGCAGGACTCCAGCGGTCTGTGCTCACTTTCTTAGGAAGTCCTTCTGTGGCGGGTTGGGCGCACTGACAGATGCTTGGGGGTCCGTGGGGTCTGCAGTCCCTGCCTGGGCTGACACCCGGGGCGAGAAGAAAACACAATTTGAGTTTGGGACTTGCCCAGATCCAGTGAGTTCGGCCGGGGGGTCCCTGTTCTCTCGGAGTTGGGGGTTCCTGGAGACTGTCTGCTTCCACTTGTTTCTGAAGCAGTGTCCCGGAGACCTCGCCAGGGAGAGGAGAGATTTATAAAACACACTCTGATAAAGTCCTGGGATGTGCCCCTTCCCAGCCCTTCCCCAGCAGACACACCTAAGTCCCAGCCTCCAGGAGACGGGAGCTGGTGGCCCTCCACTCCACGCCCCAGTTCTTGTGATGTTAGGGAAAAACAGAAGTCAAGGCACCCTCAGGCCCCACACACCTCCAATGGATCAACCAACCTGTCCCTTACTTGCGTCTTGATCCAGCAGTGACGATGTTAACCAGCCAGGCCCAAAGGGGTGAGGCCAGTACAGAGAGCCTCCCAGTGGCTCCTGGGTGCCCCGAAAGACAAGTTGGAGTCATGCAGTTTCCTCGATGTTGCTCCTGTCCCGTCCCATGCGTGCGTCCGGGGAGGCTGTCCCTGGTCCAAGGCCGCCCCTCCCCTGCTGGTGGTTACAATGCGTGGGGCCCCTCCCCGCCCAGCCCCGGCCATGTCTCGTGTCTTCCCCTGCCTGTGATGTCCCTGTGGACCTGTGAGCCCTCCCCTCCTTATCTCTGCTCTGAATGCTGCATGAACCATTAAATGTGCAATGAAGTACCTCTTCCCAGCTCGGGAGGCTTTGGTCTGAAGTCTTTTGTAGATAAGGGTTTTTTTCTTTTTCTTGTTTTTTTATGGTGGTAAAATACACATAGCACAAAAGCTACCACTTTAACCACTTTTAAGTGTCCAGTGCAGTGGCATTATCCATGTCATGGTGCAGCCACCACTACCAGTCTCTTTCATTGTCCCAAGCAGAACCTCAGCGCCTGTTAAACAACAGCTCCTGCTCCGCAGCCCCCAGCCCCGGGGAGACACCCTCCCGCCTTCTATAGCCTGGGGCATCCACACATTCTCCTTTCAGTGTTATCAGTATACATGAGGGTCCCTCCTGCACACTGCCATGGATGGGGCCCAGCTCCCTATCTCTGCACTGCAAGGGTCCACAGGTGGTCCCAGGTGGCCGTGTTCCTTGTGGCTGTTTTGTGGGCCCTGACATGGACACTCAGATCCCAAGGCTGCCCTGGGAGGGGTCAGGGTGTGTCCAGGGCCAGGGTGCTCTCAGCCTCTGGACGGGACGGTAAACTCAGGGTCCGAGGACAAGCACATCTCACTGGGGCACTGCAGGCTCCCGGGATCTCTTGCAAGCTGGGCTCTGAGCAGGCTTGCAGGAAACATTTCAGTAAATAAACAGCAGTGAATAAGCTAAGTGTCGCAGGAGAGAAACCTTGGGAGCTTCAGATTCTGACATCCACAGGCCAAAAACGCAGGAACTTTGACACAAGTCTCACACTGTATGCAAAAATTAACATGGATCACAGACTTCACTATCAGCACAAAACTATACAACTTTTAGAAAAAAAAGGAGAAACTCTTCTGGGAAATTCTTAGCCTTGACACCGGTCCATAAAAAGGAAATTTGATAAATTGGAATTTATCAAAATGAAAAACTGTTGCCCTGAAAAAGACCTTGTGAGGAAGATGAAAATATAAACCACGGAATGGGAGAAAAAGATTTTTAAACCGCGCATTTCCCAGAGAGGACTAATGTCTAGAATCCATAAAGAACTCTCAGCCGGGGGCGGTGGTTCACGCGTGTCATCTCAGCACTTCGGGAGGCAAGGCGGGTGGATCACAAGGTTAGGAGTTTGAGACCAGCCTGACCAACATGGTGACACCCTGTCTCTACTAAAAAAATACAAAAATTGGCCAGGTGTGGTGGCAGGTGCTTGTAGTCCCAGCTACTTGGGAGGCTGAGGCAGGAGAATCGCTTGAAACTGGGAGGCAGAGGTTGCAGTGAGCTGAGTTCATGCCACTGCACCCCAGCCTAGGCAACAGAGCGAAACTGTCTCAAAAATAAATAAATAAATAAAAGAACTCTCAAAACTCAACCATAAACATGTAAACAATCCAGTTAGGTTATGAAGAAGCACTTCCCCATGAGGACACGCAGACGGCAGTCAACACAGGGAAAGGTATCAGACCACTAACCGCTAGGAAAATGCAAATTAAAGCCACCGTAGGACACCCCACACACCTATGAGAACGGGTAGGATCAACAACGGCAGCACTCCATCCTGGCCGGGGTGTACAGAAACAGGATTGCTCAGACACTGCTTGTGGGAGCATAAGATGGGACAGTCATTCTGGAAAACGGCTCGTAGTTTTTTAACAAAAACAACTCAGCATGCAATTACCATGCAACAGCAAATTGCATTCTCGGGCATTCGCCCCAGATGGGGAAGAGGTGCTCCCACCAAGCTGCAGACGCGTGGACACAGCAGCTTGACTCAGCCTCAGGCTGGAAACGATCATGACATCCTTCAGCAGGGAGAACAAACCGTGGTTCATCCATGCCCCGAAATGCTGCTTGGCACCAAAAAGGAACTCGTGGTATGCCCAGCGATCTGGATGGAATTGTCAGTGAATGATGCTGAGTGAAAGAAGTCATGTGCTATCCAGTTCCATTTACACGACATTCTAGGGATACCAAAGTCGGGGCCAGAAGTTGGGGAGGAGGTGGCGTGGCTATAAAAAGGTAGCTGGGGCCGGGCATGGAGGCTCACACCTGTAATCCTAGCCCTTCGGGAGGCTGAGGCTGGTGGATCACTTGAGGTCAGGAGTTCAAGACCAGCCTGGCCAACATGGTGAAACCCCATCTCTACTAAAAATACAAATTTTAGCTGGATGTGGTGGTGGACGCCTGTAATACCAGCACTTTGGGTGGCCGAGGTGGGCAGATCACCTGAGGTCATGAGTTCCAGACCGGCCTGGCCAACCTGGTGAAACCTTGTCTCTGCTACAAATACAAAATTCACCAGGTGTGGTGGACACCTGTAATCCCAGCTACTTGGGAGGCCAAGGCAGGGGAATCGGTTGAACTCGGGAGGTGGAGGTTGCCGTGAGCCAAGATTGCGTCACTGCACTCCAGCCTGGGCAACAGAGTGAGACTTTGTCTCAAAAAATCAAAATAAAAATAATAAAAAGGCAGCCGGAGCTGTTCTGTGGCTCAGGCATCAGTGTTGGGATCTGGCTGTGATATGCTGAGGTCGCTTAGCAAGATGTTACCATTTGTGGTCGTGGGGGAGGAACTGGGTGAATGATGCACCCATCTCTCTGTATTTTTGTTGTTGTTGAGACAGGGTCTCCATTTGTCACCCAGGCTGGAATGCACCGTCGTAATCACAGCTTACTGCCACCTTGACCGCCTGGGCTCAAGCGATCCTCCTGCCTCAGCCTCCCAAGCAGCTGGCACTACAGACAGTCACCACCATGCCCAGCTAATTTTTAAATTTTTTTTTTTTTAATTTAAAAGGCAAGGTCTCACTATGGTGCCCAGGCTGGTCTCAAACTTCTGGCCTCATGCAGTCCTCCCACCTCAGCCTCCTGAGACTGGGTTCACAGGCACGTGCTGCCATGCACAGCTAATATATATTTTTAAATATTATTTATAGAGACAGAGTCTTACCATGTTTTCCATGTTTCTCGACCTCCTGGGCTCAAGTGATCCTCCCCCCTCAGCCTCCCAAAGTGCTGAAATTCCAGGCATAAGCCACTGCACCCAGCCAGGACATATGTTTTCACTTGTCTTGGGTCAAAACTGAGGTATGGAATGTAGTAAGGGTGTGTTTAACTTACAAGAAATTGCCGAACGCTTCTTCAAAGTGGCTGCACCACTTCACCTCCCTGCCAGCAGTTGCGGGGGTGTGGCAGGTGCCCCACATCCTCACCAGCACTTGATGTAATCAGGCTTTCTAATTTTGGCAGTTCTGATGAGTATAGTCATATTTTGCTGTAGTTGTAAAGTGCATTTCCTGATGACAGACGACGTGGAGCGTCTCTTCATGTCTGTATTGATTGCACATCTTCTTTTGTGAAACGTCTGCTCAAATCTTTTGCCCATTTACAAAAATTGGGCTGTCTTCTTACCAGGCTGGAGGACGTCTTTATGTATTCTAGACACAGCTCCTTCGTCAGACGCACGCATTGCAAATACTTTCTCCCAGCCTGCAGCTGGCCTTTTAATTTCTCAAATGATGTCTTCTAAATAGCAAAAGTCTTTAATTTTTGTAGAGTCCAATATATCCACCTTTTGCTTTGTACTTTGTGGCTTGGTGTCCTCTTTAAAAAATTACCGGGTGAGGTGGCTCATGCCTGTAATCCCAGCACTTTGGGAGGCAGAGGTAGGAAAGAGTCCAGGAGTTCGAGCCTGGGTAACATAGTGAAAGCCTATGCCTAAATAAATACATAAATAAATAAATTTGTTTAAAATAGCCAGGTGTGGTGGTGCACACCTGTGGTCTCAGCTACTCGGGGCTGAGGCCGGAGGATTGCTGGAGTCCAGGAGGTCGAGGCTGCGGTGAGCTATGATCACATCACTGCACTCCAGCCTGGGTGACAGAGTGAGACTTTGTCTCAGAAAAATAAATAAAAATAAAAAATAATTGCCTGCTGCAAGGTGGCCAACCAATGTTTACGGAACTTCTGATACGTACCCGGCCCTGAAGTTGGCCCTAGACATACAGCAGAAAGCAGCTGCCTTGGGGCTGACGTTCCAGTGAGGGTGCCCCCTTCTCTGTCCTGAAGCCCCGTGAAGGCCCCCTTTCCAGCCCTGTTCCCCAGCACCACCCAGAGAGAAGGCCTTCAGGCCCTGGCCATGTTTCCCGCTGCCCTAGCTTTGTGAGTTTCGCCAAACCCGTTGGCATCTCTGTGCCTCGCCCTCCCTGCTCTGAAGTAGCCTGGGAATGCACATCTCCCCTCCATTGTATCTGGAAGAGAACGAAGTGGGAACCTTCCCTTACCCAAGAAGATCTATTTGGGGTGGGCTCAGGTGGGGCTCAGGTGGGGCTCAGGTGGGGCCCAGGTGAGGCCTGGGTCTGGGGGCTGTGGTGTGGAGAGGAATGGGTTACCTGAGGCAGCCCCAGCCTCAGAGAGTCAGAGGCTGCCCCGGACTCCTTGCCTGCCCTGCACAGCCTGACGCACAGCATCCTGTGGGCCAGGTGTGAGGCCACTAAACAGCAAAAGGCCCCGTGCAAGGAACAGATGAGGAAACAGAGGCTCCAGCATGCAGAGGTCGGCCTAGGGCCACCCAGAGGGCAGGCGCAACTGGGAACCATGCTCCTCAGCCAGCCTGGGCCCCACCTGCCTGTCTGGTGCCACCAGCCAAGTCTCTGACGGACACAGCAGACATTGGGCCCTGGGGTGGGTCCCCAGGACTTGGTCTGGAGCCACTGAGGACATCCAGGATGGACAACCTCTCTGGTCTCTGCCCCTCAATGGCTGTGGGGACAGGGAAACCACTTTCCCTGGGGCAAGAGGCGGTGGGGAACTCATACACCTTCCTGTCTTGTCCTGGCAACGCACTGGCTCGCTTGTTCATCTGTTCACTCATTCATTCATTCATGAACTTGCTCATTCGGTCATTCACTTGCTCATTCATTTGTTCATTCATTCATGAACTTGCTCATTCATTCATTCACTTGCTCATTTGTTCATTCATTCATGTTTGTTCATTCATTGATTCATCTGTCTGTGTGTTTAGCCATTCATTCATTTCTTCA